AAACTCATCGAAATTTAAAATTAGATTCTTCCAGATTTGAGTGGTCATATTTTTAGAATTTTTAACCTTATAAGTTTGACTCAATATACATTTCCATAGAATATTTAGGCCCCGTTTTGTATCTATTTTTTTCAAAATGCATTTTTTTCTCTCTTTTTTTTCAACCACACGTTATTTATTAAAATAATATTACACGTAAATCAAAAACTTCTCCTTATTTTTAACCACACATTTTCCATCAATTTACTATTCAAAAATGTATTTTTACATAAAAATGTCTCCCAAACACCCTTTTAATAATTTTTGAGTTATCAATTTTGTTGATTATAGCAATTTTTGTAATTCACATTCACTTAGTATTGTTACCTTTAATTTATAGGGAAAATCTATTTTTCTTTTTACTAAATTATGACAACAAATAATGCATAGTTTTACAAGTTTTTTTTTTTTTAATATTTGGTTTTCACACAAAACTATAGTTAAAATTGATTATGTAAATCATTTAATTGCATTACCAAATACTTAAAGTTTATGTCGCATCCCACGATTTTTTGTCTAAATATTTTGATATTTTAAATTTTTGTAGGCATTTCTTTTTTCTTTTTTAACAATTATAACGATAGAACATTAGTCGTATTATCATACTAAAAAGTGGAGATTTTAGTGTTATACGATATATTAAAAATTGTAAGTATCATTGATGCTTATTAAAGTTATATGCTGAAAGATCTTAAATTTGACCAAATAACTTTGTTTGAATTATGAATTTATTTGTCGTATCATACTATGTGCAAAGCATATTTGGAAAACTAGCATTTGGTTTTAAATTCTTACCAATTTTTTTTATAATTTTTTTTATCATCCCCTTTTGACTTTCACATGATTATTGGAAAAGAGTTACATGTCTCAAATGAGACAATGTCTAATCAAACCGAAATAAATCAAATATATTTACTTGAATTTTAGGCAAACCAAAGTAAGAGACTAAATGTGTCCATACTTTCGACAAATTAAATGAGGTATAACTTTTCATACTCTGTGATTTTGGATATATTTAATGAATATAAATTATGCATCGATTTTTGCTTTTTAACATTTACATGTGTATATACTTTACTTTTTAAGCCCCCGTTTGGTATCAATTTTTCATCCAAAAAATCATTTTTTGACCATTATTTCACAATTTCATTCGTCATTTTTTACTTCCTCACTCACAGGTGAGACCCACTTTTCTCTATAACAGTCAAAAAATCAATTATTATAATCACTACCGTACATGCCCTAAATTTAATTTGACATAATTATATTCAAATAGATCGTATAAGATTTTTGATACATTAAAATAAGTATTTAATAATATATTTGAAGTTGTCATGGAAAATAAAGCAAAAAGGATAAAAATTCAATTTATGAATTTTAGTATGTCAATTGTTTGTAGAATTAGTAGAATTTAGTAATTTTTTGATATGCTTGCTTATTGTCAATTCAATTCAATATTTGATAATTCGATACATTTAGTTCTTCATCCTCAAGGGTTTTTTTTTCCTTTTTTTTTTTTTTTTGTAATTTCATTTCACATTTGATTATCTTTTTTTTTTATATATATTTTTTATGGAATCTAAATTCAAATCAATTTTATCAACAAGAGTTCCTAAATACATTGTTATCAAATGGTATCCAACGACACAAGTTAATTTTGAAAATAAATTGTCCAGTAACATTTTTGAAGAATTTGGACCCATCCAACGATAGTTACGATTGAATAAAAATGAATTGTTGTGATTTCAAGCAACATATTATCTATTTAGAAATAACCATTGAACAACATCTAGAAAATAAATTTTCCTTCCACACATCCTATTAATTCCAGTAAATAGTAAAGGATATTCATTCAAAATCAAGAGAAAATAATTGTCAATACATCTACGCTTGCAATTACCAGTGATAAGGACAAATATTGCCTACAATTGAAATGAACCTTCCTGAACACGTATTATCTCATGGACAACTTTATGTTACACTTTGCGAAGTTTTAATGCGAACAACAGAAGTCTTGATAAAAGGCTAAAAACAAAAAAATAAAAAGAAGAAAAGATTTAGGACACTGATGAATTATATTGTGTAAAAAGAATGTTATTTTAATGAAAATATTACATTTCAATTTATTCAACCTTTCATTTCATATATATAATTCCATAAAAAGTATTATTCATATATATTATTTTTAACAATTTTAATTTTTCCTTTAACAATAATAATTATATTAATCACTTTCAAAAACAGTATTAGTACTTAAAAAATATTAAGTATATCATTCATTCTATAAATAAATGTGCAACGCACGTGTTTACTACTAGCGTTCTATAAAAATAACTTTGAGTTGGATAGTGGGTCTGTTTGACATATTTTGAAAAGTCAAAATGTTATTTTTAAAATTAAGAAGCTACTTTTACATGTATTTGGATAACTTATTGAAAGTGATTTGTTGACTTAAAAATGGTGATACAAATTAACTCTTTAAGAAGTTCTTTTACAAGATTTTATATTGGAAATTATCCCAAACATGCGTGTAATGTTGACAAGAACACTTGGTAGTATGCATCGTTATTTGCAGGGACTTGTCCACATGTGTATAAAGAGGTGGGGGTTGTAACTTGTAAGAGTGAGCCTTGCTGCACAGACAGGGCCACGTTGGCCATGTCCTTGTAGAAAAGTCCTGCAAGAATTTGTTCTTTCATTTTCTTCTCTTTCCCCTTTTGGAAAATTTGCATTATTTGTTTCCATTTTTATGTTCCAACATACATAAAAGAGGGTTGGAGCAATTTAATTTTTTCCTTTTGCATTTTTTTTTTGTTTATTTTAAAGAGGATGGCAAAGTTGTCATATTATACGATTTAACAATCAAATAGACAAAAGTGTTGAATTGCGCCAATATTCCTAAAGGCTAAAACTGTCTACACATTTCAAAACGTAAAAGCATGACTGCTACTCTTAAATGTTAGGGATGAAATGCGCCAATTTCTCACTATTCTTTTACCTTCCAACAAGCAAAGGAAAAATAAACTATTATTTTCCAATGCTATTAAAAGTATGTCCCATTCAATACAAACTCGTAATATTTTAAATTATTCTAGAATTTTAGGAGTACACATCCCAAAAGCTGTCCACCACCCTTCAAAAGTCATTGATATAATGATTTCAATTTTTACTATCCTGAAAACTACTAATATAGTTTTCATTGAAAATTTCACAAAAATGTCAACTGTGAATTGTTCTTAAACTTTATTTTATAACAATAGAATTTCAATCAGAAACTTCAATTCATCCAATCTTGGACTAAAACGGCAGTTGATTCACAAGGAAGCAGTGGACTGTAGGGTGATGGACCGTTTACTCATGTAATACATAAATTGTAACCAAAATCGATCACTCAACACTCATCTTGAGTTTTGTCCATGTTAATTTAACAGTCTGCAAAACAAGGATGATCCCATTATCTACGTTAGCATTCAAATAGAACGTTAGTTCCTCATGTTCCTAAGGCGTATTCAAGATGAGCAAATCTTTATGTGATATTTGAGACGCTGTAAAGACATCATCTTTTTGGGAAGCAAATTTGTCAATCATCGCATGAAACAATCAACAAGTCTAGCATTCATGCATGGATTCTTTATAATATGTAACATTATATCACTACTTATTTTCTTATCTCTTATCTTTTTCTTATCCATCTCTTATCTTTTTCTTATCCATCTCTCAAAAAGTAAAATTTCAAAAATTGTCCAATGAAGACTATTTCTCGAAGAACAATGAATTTGCTACATGGTTGAAAGGAGAAAGGAATTTTTTTTATCAGATCTTTCTTTCGATTCTGCTCGTGTTGTATTCATAGAGTTTGTCATCTAATAGAATAATGAGCATGAACCCCGATACTACAATGACATTTCAGCTACACCTTCAACATCCCACAATTGGAATATCAAAAAGTAATACAAGTTCAACCTCATATATCTAGAATACCAAAAAGTTTCTCTTTATAATAAGTCTTAAAACTCTATAAGAAGATTTATCAAATAATTCAGTAGACATAATCAGTAAAAAATTAAAAAATTCGAAATTATGACTAAGGCCCTATTTGACTCACATTATTTAAAAAAAAAAAATACATTCTTAAACAGTGATTTGATATCATTTTAATCACACACTTTTTAATAAAATAATATTATACGCAAATTTAAAAATTTTCCTTATTTTTTAATTACACATTTTCCATCAATATACTATCAAAAAATTTATTCTTATGAAAATAACGTGGCTCAAACAAGGACTAAATATTTATCTATTCTAACAAATATGTTTGGACAAAAAAGTCGTTAAGGACAAGATTTGCGAATTGGTGAAATATTAAGTATAAATATGTGATGAAAAATGTTAAAAGAGAATAACAAATGAAGGTTGAAAACCTCAATACAATTAAAATCTTGTTGGAATATCTTCTCTCCTTGAATTTCAATAAACAATTCTCTATCATCCTACTTCATTTTATTATAATTATATTATTATTATTTAGTTACTCATTTTTAATGGGTTGCCCAATAATCATTCATCTTTTTATATAATTACTCATTCAACACTCCTTAAGTAACCGTTTCGACTTTCAAATTGTGAATGAAAAATCGCACATGACAAACGACAATATTATGTGGTGTATTAACTATTTTAACCATGTTCATGTCACTAAAAATACACCAAAGTTTTGCAATCGGTGTAGGGAAAAACGTGTTTGGTTGGACCTTTTTGTTGATATGAATATAGGCGATGGATGATTAATTTTATGAAAAGATGAGTAAATATTGGATATCGACGAATAATGAGTAAATAATAACAATTTTATGTGTTGATTTATCTATTCCTATATGCTGATTAATGCATTTTGACTATTTTTTCTTGATCATCGTCGGACAGTAGAGCCCACTTTTTAAAGGCACCGCAAAACAAGAGTCGGTTCACGACATAACCTCACCTATTCGAGATCTCGTCCTCCGATTTCCATAATTCAGTGATCTACTAATCCCGGGTCTTGCCAAAGTCAGTATCTTTGATTGGGCAGTTTCAGTTCTGAATCTTCTGATACATATGGGTATGTCTACAATCCATTTAAACCTCAATAGTTCCGTTAATTTGTTTTTATCGAAAAAACCCCTAATTCAATGATGCTTTGTTATTTATGATAAATGATTGACTAGAGCAGAGTAATTTTTTTTTTGTTTATATAACGTATTTGCTTGAATTTAAATAAAACACGGCCTACTATGTACGTTTCTTATATTTTGGTGCTTAAAAGCTTTGCTTTATTGCAACTGTTCAATTAGTGGTTTGCGCCTTGCATTTCGATATTTGGGATTTAGGATTTTATTGGGTGGGATTTTGATCCGGGTGCAATTGGTTTTAAATTTGATCTGATGGTGTAACTACAGTATACTTGGCTATGGTGCTCTGGTTTTAACTGGGCTGGAGCTCATGAGTTTTGTTTGCTAAGAGACTTGAAAACTTGTTGCTAGGTTGTAAATGAACTTATTTTTAATTACCTTGGAACCCCTCCAAATCGTGGAGAAGAATCACGATGAATTATAGTTTGCTCAACTGATCTCCTTTCTTTATTTTATTTAGTTAGGGCTAGTTCCTTTATTCTTGCTTTGTTCGGTGTTGGGCATACTGTAGGGTGCTACAGGAAACGACAAGGTTTCTGAAGTTAAGAGTTTCTGTTCAATAACATTACAGTTCTTGCTAATACAATTGCTGTACATTTTTATCCAGGTAAAAGCGATGGTTGTTGCTCAACTCACCTTATAGATGGGGATGGTAATTTCAATGTTGCTGGACTGGATAATTTCATGAAGGAAGTTAAACTTGCAGAATGCGGGCTATCTTATGCCGTAGTTTCCATCATGGGTCCTCAGAGCAGTGGTATGACTTTTTAGTAAAGATACTTCCTTGTCTCTTTCATTCGCCAGTTCAGAATATGTGAATTTTGGGTGGCTTTGTTAGTACTTCTGTTATTGAATTAAATATTCCCTTTCATGGCTAAGATATCGGTATTTTTTTTTTTTTTAGGTTAATTCCATTTCTCCCTTTTAAAATCCTGTATTGCGTTTTCACAGTTCTGAGATTCCTGTTCATCACAAGCTTTCATAGTAATCTTGCATTTTCTGTCTCCTCTACTTTCAACTGATATAAACGTGTTTCATGACATTGACAGGGAAGAGTACATTGTTAAATCACCTGTTTGGTACTAATTTTAGGGAGATGGATGCTTTTAAGGGGAGGTTCGTTACTTTAAAACCTTTTGTTACTTCTCTTGTTTGTTGGTTGATAAAATTCAAATAAAGTATCCGAGTTCCCTCAGGTTTCAAACTACTAAAGGTATTTGGTTGGCGCAATGTGTTGGCATTGAACCTTGCACTCTTGTAATGGATTTAGAGGGAACTGATGGAAGAGAACGAGGAGAGGTACCAATGATGACACTTTTACTTGACGCTTCATATTCTATTATCATATTTTTGTTTATGGTTATTTTCATTATAATACATGTTTAAAGACTTGTTATTTAGGGAACATACTGATGCCGACATACATTTGCTGTCTTTCTTGCCGTATAGACTTACTGTTTGTCATGCGTACTGCTGCTGTTTGGGACTTTGTTTGTCTTTCCATCAATACTGTCTTCAGAAAGCCACAACAACATTATTTGGGAACTTATTTGATAATATAAGTTTGTAATACATCGTCCCCCTTGTGATGACTGTTGATAACATGATTTTGTGCTGCATTCTCGTCATGATCTTATATGGAGCAAGTATGACGAGATTATGTTTCTAGGATCAAATGGACTGTCATCTACATATGTTACCTTGCATAAGAATGCTTATTTGTTCGTAAGTTTTCTTTTGTTTATTCAATTATGTTATTTTATGCCAAGGGATCTGGAGAGGTAGACAAATATGCTTTTAGCTGGTCCTTCTTGTTCTTTTCTAATCTTTTTGCTCCTTTTCAGGATGATACTGCATTTGAAAAGCAGAGTGCCCTGTTTGCCCTAGCTGTTTCGGATATAGTGTTAATAAACATGTAAGATTGTTGCATTGCATTAAAAATGTATTGATATCATTTAACGCTTCAATTAAGTTATTTGGGATTGTTATAGAGTTATACTAATATAAGATGGAACCACATCACAGGACTGTATGTTTGAAAGACTGAAAGAGGGATTGTTATAGGTATTGGATGATTTATTGATAAGGAAGGATTTGAAGAGAATGTAACGCATCATATTAGTGTTGGTTGGATGGAATTGCCTACTATTTGACTGGCCTTGAGATTATCGTTTATTTGAGATTTTTAAGTCATTTATATTACACGGAAATATTTCAGGTGGTGTCATGACATTGGCCGTGAGCAGGCTGCAAATAAGCCTCTCTTAAAAACTGTATTCCAGGTAACTATTGCACATGCTCTATTCTAGCATATTATTTGGATTGCTAATTCTTTACTGATTTATAATTTTGATGAACAGGTCATGATGAGATTATTTAGCCCACGTAAAACAACTTTGATGTTTGTTATACGTGATAAAACAAGGGTACTCTCAACCTATTCTTTTCTCGTTTGATGTTGCCATTAATTGTACTTCAGAAACTTAAATTCTTAGATCGTATAGTTCCGTGAATTAAGGATTTGATATGCTGGAGCATTTTTTTTGACATCTTGTAGACGCCTTTGGAAAACCTGGAACCTGTTTTAAGAGAAGACGTTCAGAAGGTACACCAAATGTGATATTTTAATGTATTATGAACTATCCCATCTGTTGTTGGTCTAAGCTTCTCTCCTTCCTCCTTTCCCTACTCTCGCTTTTGAAGATATGGGATGCAGTTCCTAAGCCAAGTGCGCACAAGGAAACTCCATTAAGTGAATTCTTTAATGTAAGACGCATATATCTTTATGATTAAGCTCGGTTAAGAGCATGTTTGGCTAACCTTAAGAGATGCTTAAAAGCACCTTTTTTGAGTGTGTGTCTCTAGCTAATTTCAAAAAAAGGTGCTTCCTTGTAAGCGTAGCCCAACATGCTCTAAGTCTGTGTTCTGTTTTATATGATACTTGTTGATATGGATGACTACAGGTTGAAGTTACGGCTCTTTCTAGTTATGAAGAGAAGGAAGAACAATTCAAAGAGCAGGTTAATACAATGTTTGAATTCTTTCTAGTGATTTTGTGTTAGTTCTTGTTCTCGTGAATGCCCTGGCTTCATTCTTTGCCATTTGTACCTTCTGTCATTGTTTTTAGGAGGATGCTTTTGAGATTTTTAGGGATCTAAGACTTTTTTACTTGTTTGTCTTTTGATCAAGGTGGCGAGCCTAAGACAGAGATTCTTTCATTCTATTGCTCCTGGTGGGCTTGCTGGGGATAGGCGAGCTGTAGTTCCTGCTTCCGGCTTTTCATTTAGTGCGCAACAAATTTGGAAGATCATCAAGGAGAACAAGGATCTCGACCTGCCTGCTCACAAAGTCATCATCTAAACATCTATCCTGATGTCATAATAAATTATTCAGACAGATCATCACTGAGGAATTTGCTTATCTATTATAGGTCATGGTTGCCACTGTACGTTGTGAAGAGATCGTGAATGAGAAATTTTCTTCTTTTATTGCAAACGAGGTACCTTTTCTTGTAAACGCATGTTTGAAGGTTTTGTTTGATTCATAATATTTTGCGTTATTTTATCTGCACGGACAAATCCAAACAACATAAAACATCAAATGTAATTTGATTAGGAATGGCGTCAACTGGAAGAGACTATACAATCTCGACCAGTGCCAAGCTTTGGGAGGAAGCTGAGCTCAATCCTTGATGTTTTTCTAACGGAGTAAGTCGATAGCTGCCCGAGTCCATACTCTTCTTGAAGCTCTGCGACAATTATTGTTAACATAGTATTGCCCTGGATATATTTGGCAACCCTTTGTATGACAATTTTCTTAGGAGCTTGTTATTACTTGAATCTTGGGTATATTTGGTGACCTTGAGTATGACAATTTGCTGAAGACCTTGTTATTACTTTGAATCTTCCGAACCTTTGCTATCATGAATCTGTTAGACTGTGCTGCTGTTAACTATAGACTAGGTTTCCAAAAGACTAACAAAATATTTCCTTTGATCAGCATGCTTCTACTTGGGAAAGATATTTCCAGTTCCAGACCACTTCCGATTGTTCACTACAGTAGGTTAATCTGGACTTTATGATTGGTAATTAATGGTGTGAGTGGATTTGAAGGACAATGGGTCTGGGCTGGTCAGTTTGGTCAAGTACAAGGAAATTGCAGCTAGGCTGGAGGAGGGCGGAAGCATATAGATATCTGAACTAAAACTAAAGTGATTTTTGGTTCTTTTAAAACTTTAAATTAATGATACATGAAGCGATGTGAAATTCCTTATAATAGGTGGAACTCTGTATTGATTTTGCACACTGTCTATATTACTATGTTGATGGACTTTGTGAGCGAGCATGGGCCTGTTTATTAATCAAAATTTTCGCTGACATTTAAGATTTTGGCAAGCTGATTTTATATCAGGATATTCCTTTTCTGCATCTTAATAATGTAGTGTAGCATTGAGAATTTCCTGAGATATTCTTATTCATATGTTTTTCCACCTTTCTAAACTAGATACGATGCAGAGGCGACCTATTTTGATGAAGGTGTTCGATCTTCAAAGCGGAAACAGTTGGAAGAGAAATTGTTGCAAGTAATGCTTCTTTAATTCATCCTTGAAATTCTACAACTATTAAAAAAAAAATTTGTATCACTATTGTCCATAAAATGTAGATTGAGCAAGGGCAAATAGAGCCTGACGACATTTTTTGTTCTTTTGGAAGTTGTGCCTTTGTTTTTGATAGTATAACCTACCACACTGTATATTCAATAATCCGTTGGCTCTCCCGTTCACTCTTCCCTATCTACCCTCTTCTCTCTCTATCCATGAGAGAAGTAACACTTTTTTTTTCAGCTTTTAAGAGTCAAAGGTGAAGCATCACATAAGTTCTATGCACCGATATTGTGAAATGAAACTTTTGATTTTGTTGTTGCTGGTACATATAAGAATTTAACACACATGCCATGCATCATTAAGGTGGTTTTTAGTTTTTTTATTGTATTTGTCTTACACGGGTTGTTAATAAACTTAAAAAGAGCTGACATAGGTTTTAACTTCATGACTGAGCATTAATTACCTATTAACCAATACTTCCTCTAGCTTTTCGGTTTTCCCCCCTCATGTTCATTTTTTTTGGTTTGGCATATTAGCTTGTCCAACCAGCTTATCAATCCATGCTGGGACATGTTCGATCTGGAACTCTTGATAGATTTAAAGACGCATTTAATAATGCCTTGAACGGAGGGAAGGGATTTGCTATGGCTGCTCGTGAATGCTTTGAGTATTTCATGTCACAGTTTGATGAGGGTTCTGCAGGTATGATATCTTACATTTACAATGCCATCTATATTCACATGGAGAGAGGGATGGGCATGTTATCACATGCATTTCATCAGTACTTAGAATGGAATTCCCAAGAAGATTCTGAAAAGGCAAATGAGCTGCAGATTTCAATTTGAATTGCTGCAACCATTAACATAATTCGTTCAATTTATAGCTGACATTCTTCATGCGAAAAATAATTTTAACTTATAGCTGGTGCTTCTTGATGATCTTAACGGACGCATTAAGTGTAATAGAAGGCTAAATTTAAAATTCAATAGCTGATAATTGCATATCGTGCTACTGATTAGCTTAATATTTTCCAGAAGCATACATTGACCAAGCAAACTGGGACTCGTCCAAAGTAAGAGAAAAGCTCCATCGCGATATAGATGCATACGTTGCAGCAGTTCATACAGCGAAGCTCTCTGAACTTGCAAATATGTATGAGGTATGAAATCTTGTGATTTTGTAACTTTGCAGCTGTCATTTGACCGTAGTAAATTATAGATCAACAGCTTCGGATGTCCTGTATGTACAAGTGTGAAACCTTGGATGTATGGCATTATTATTGATGTGTGAAATTGGCAAGTGCAAGGATGTATCCTATTATGATGGATTACCTTGATTTTATCAAATATTAGGCTGTTATAGCTAGTGACAGACCCATTACCAAACAGAGCTGTTTAACTTTACTAGAACTTATTTTCAGTAGTAAATGTGGCGCGATAAAATGGTTTGACTGTATTTCCATTGATATGATTTCTTGTGCAGAAAAAACTGAATGAAGCATTATCTGGCCCTGTTGAGGCTTTACTAGATGGAGCCAGTGATGATACATGGCCTGCAATAAGGAAACTTCTCCAATGTGAGACTGAAAAGGCTGTTGCTGGGTTTTCTACTGCTCTTTCTGGTTTTGAAATGGATGAAGAAACCCAAGATAAAATGCTTCTAAGGTTGAAGGAGCACGCTAGAGGATTGATTGAAGCGAAGGCGAAAGAAGAGGCTGGAAGGGTTTTGATTCGCATGAAGGACAGGTACTTGCTCTATGTTTTCAATTCATGACCTAGAATTTGTGTGAACAAAGAAGTTTTTTGGTTATGGGTTCTACTTGTGGGAACTGACTGATACAATAATTTATAGGTTTACAACAATATTTAGCCATGATTCTGATTCAATGCCACGGATCTGGACGGGGAAGGAAGATATTCGAGCCATCACCAAAACTGCTCGATCTGCTGTATGATATTCTTGAGTTAGATCTTTGGTGGGATTATTTGTTTCTTGATTGGATCGTACTTCTAAAATTATCCTTTTCTTTTTGTAGTCTTTGAAGCTACTATCTGTTATGGCTGCAATCCGTTTGGATGATGAAGCTGATACTGTTGAGAATAAATTGTCCCTTGCTCTTTTGGATCCCAAGGCTGGTACTACTAATAAAAGCAGTTCAATGGACCCTCTTGCCTCAAGCACTTGGGACGAGGTAATCATTTTAATGCTTCATCTCTTGAATCTTTTTGAAGTATTTGTTAAATTCTCATTTGCTCAAATACAGAGATCTCTGTGGAAAACAAGTAAACTGCTTCACATGGGTGTGTTCGAAAGTGGTTTTTTTATTTCTTTCTTTTTTTATTTTTGCTTTTTGCGGCACGAACCTACTTAGTTTCAGTGCGTGGATGAAGTTGAACCGACTTAGTGATGGTTCATCTTGTAACTGTATATAAAGAAAGATCCCATAATCTGTTTTAATGTCATGTATGACAAATCCAAGGGTGTCGGTGTCAGGTAAATATTTCTATTTCACAGCCTATTCCACAGTGTATTAATATTCGTTCTGTGATTGGATATTCAAATCCAGGTTCCAGCATCGAAAACTTTGATTACGCCAGTCCAGTGCAAATCCTTGTGGAGACAGTTTAAGGCGGAGACTGAATACACTGTTACTCAAGCCATTGCTGCTCAGGCACGATCTCGTACACATAAAATACTCAACGAAAATGTGTAATTTTTGTGTAATTTTTGGGTCGTAAATTTTACATCCATTATCTCAGTTTGAACTTGAACTTGTGTACAGTATTACTCTGAACATCTTTATGTTTATCGTTTATTGTTGGTAACATATAATATTGACAACCTGAAATAAACATGGGATACGGTTTTGTTGTTGAGTATGATAGATAAAAGAATTTTCTAATGAATTATTACTGATTCTTCTTCATTCTCGTTTTTTAGGAGGCTAGTAGGCGAAGTAACAACTGGTTACCACCTCCATGGGCGATAGTTGCATTGGTTGTCTTAGGTTTCAACGAATTCATGACACTTTTGAGGTACGCTGCAGCATACTTATGGAGACCGTGTGAATGTGTGCATTTATTTAAATTTCTTGGGCCGTCTTTTGTGATTTTTTCTTTTTTTTACCCGGGATTCTCTGTTATCTGGTGGCATTCTAGATCGAGACGTCTCTCATCCTCTTCTTTTAAATTAATGAGTTTTCTTTTTAGCAGAAATCCCTTGTACTTGGGCATTATTTTCGTTGCTTTTCTGCTCGTTAAAGCCCTATGGGTGCAATTAGACATCTCCGGTGAATTCCGCAATGGAGCTGTAAGTATCTATCCTATTGTTGCTAAGTGTTAACCCGTATTATATTTTTCTCATAAATACGTCCGATTTTTGGTTCTAAAACTTTATCCATTTTGATATTAGCCTACCTGTGGTCAGCCCAGAGCTTGCTAAATGAATGCTAATAGAAATCACTCGGGCATAAAACTTTTAATATGGAATTTTTGGTTTAATAGCTCTTTTTCACGCCTGCAGCTTCCTGGAATTCTCTCTCTGTCGACCAAATTTCTTCCTACTGTCATGAACCTTCTTAGAAAACTAGCAGAGGAAGGCCAAAAACATGCAAACACCGGCTCTCAGCACAACGCTCCACAAGCAGCAAAGAGTTCCCAGAGCGTCGCATCGTCTAGTGCTTCTTCAGAAGTGACCTCTTCCGAAAATGGAGCCGAATACTCGAGTCCTTCAGCACATCACAAATTGCAGTAATCACTCAGTTCATAAAGCAGTAACTCAAAGGAACAAATCTTGAAAGCATTCATATTTGTGTAGATCTGATATACAATGTGGGCCATGGTTTGTGATGAAAAATGCCCCACTGATATATAATTTATTTTAGATTACAATCCTCATTAGGCGCGATTGTATGGTAATGTGAACACTCCCATTCGCACTTGTTTGTGATTATTTCTGCGCTTTTACTTTCAATTTTGTATCATGATAAGTGAAATAACACTGTATTTTGAGGACTACAGGAATTTTACGTATCATTTTGTGTTCATGTGATAAATTGACTGTATTTTATCAACTCTTTTCTAGTGTATATGTTAAGAAACTGACTTCTTTATCTTCTTTCACTGTCCTAATTTTCTTCGAATATGTTCGGTAAAGCTTTTTCATGTTTATAAGTCAGTCGAACATCATTTTTATTTTCGAGTTCGGTAGGATTTATAACTTGTATCTATATATTCTTTAGGACCCATAACTTATAATTTACAAAACGTTTTACTAAATATACCCTCTTTCTGCTACTCACTGGTGCTTACAGCTCTGCCTCGGGTCTCTTTCTGCGTGGGATGCTGCCTCTCATAGTGATTTCATCGGTATGTTGGAGTATTTAAAAGTAACTTATATGAGTTTATCTCGGGAAAAAAGGGCTAAAACCTTTGGCATCGCAAAAATGTAAATTATTACTTCTTCCAAACATGCTGTTGAAGTTCAATTCTTAATTGACTAGCTCTTTCCCAACTGGATTAGGAAAATTACCCCAACCGTAAGATATTTGGCCTATGATATTTATTAATTGTCAACCATCTTCAAAATGGTTTAGGACATATTTATTAATTTTATTCGATGCTGCATTGTTCTAATTCTTCTAATCTTCCAACACCGTTGTTATTCAGACTTAACCAGTGGGAAGTGTTTGACAAAGATTAAGTGGACAGTGCTGCAGTGTCAGAAGAGGAGCACCAGAAGCTTTGATAGATCATCACATTTAGGTTGTGGGGCCACTTCTTCCTTCAAATATTTTATTAATGTGGGCCCCGGCATTGTGAGAAATCTGTCAGCCCCTATGTCAAGATTTTCTTGGCACATCAGATTTATCCAGATTAAGTTGATCTGTGGGTTCGAAGTTCAAGTCGACAAGACAACAACCAAAATTACCAAGCTAATACTATCAAGAAGAAAACCGTTTTCGCCTTTAATAGCACACTAATATCTTGTTTGTTTAGGTAAATTGTATGATTATGAACTCATGCGCTTTCCGCTACCACTAGTATGATGTACACCAAGTTCGTCTGGATTGAGATTGAAATACCAGAAGAAGGACAATATTACATTGAGTAACAGTAGCAAGAAAACGACTACCATAATTTTTATGGAACATGACAATGTGTTAGGTGTACCATGGGACAGTTTCCTCTTAAATTCTCAACAAAACATAGAACTCAAAAGTTATTGTTGAATTAATTATTATTATTATTATTATTATTATTATTTATTTATTTATTTCCAATTTTTTCTGGTCAGATTGGTTGGTAAAGTTTTACTCCTATAGTAGTAATTTCTAAATGAATGGCCCTTGTAAAAATGGTACTCCGTGGGCAAAAAATAATTAAATAAGAGCCTTAAATTTTATGTTGGAAGCACAGCAAAGCAAATTCAAGCAACTATTCATGTGCATTGAAAGGGATAATGTATTTTGAGTTGTTAATATATCATTTATGGGAATGGCAAACCAATTCGAAGAACTTCTGATGCAGTTATTCAATTAGTTTGGACTTGTTTACTATTGAATTGGGACCAAGATAAAATTGGAAGCACCGCAAAGCAAATTCCAGCAACTTTTCATGTGCATTAAACGGATAATGTGCAACATTGAGTTGTGAATTATATCCCTTATGGGAATGGCAAACCAATTCAAAGAATTTCTGATATAGATATTCAATTAGTTCGGACTTGTTTAGTATTGAATTGGGACCAAGACAAAATTGGAAGCACCGCAAAGCAAATTCCCACAACTTTTCATGTGCATTAAAGGGATAATGTGCAACTTTGAATTGTCAATTATATCCCTTATGGAAATGGCAAACCAATTGGAGGAATTTCTGATACAAATATTTAATTAGTTCGGACTGTGTAGTATTGAATTGGGGCCAAAACAAATTTGGAAGCACCGCAAAGCAAATTCCACCAACTTTTCATGTGCATTTGTCTCTATGGATTGAATGTGAGCAGGTTTCAATGTATTCAATGTAGATCCAAATCAAAGCCATGGTTTTTTTTTTACTTTTTTTTCCCCATTTATGTGCTAGCATATTCTTAATATAATCTTTAATAATTTCACAAGGAAATTCAACTTGGAACAGAATATATAAGCATGGTCTTGATCTTCCTCAATATATATGAATTATTATTTTTTTCTAGAAGAAAAGAAATTGATTGGATCTCTAGCATGTGTACTATAAATTATGTTGATACATAAAACATTAACTAGCTCATCGTAGTAGACTCTGAATCATTTTCATCTTCTCATGCAAAAAGTGTTGGAAAAATGGCTTGGTTAAGCTTACTTTGGGCACAATTTTAGGTGGGGCCCATTGGTTCAATTTGAAAGATCAAAGTTGATCCGTGTCCTTCTCTATAAGAGCATCGAAATCATATGTTTACTTGTTTACTTGTCAAAAATGATAAATGGGTGAATGAGAAATTGGAGTTCAAAGTGGACAATTGGAAGAAGATTTATATTGGAGGGAAACTATATTTAAGTTTATCTCACATAGGAAGTTGTTGAATGAAATGATGACTTTATATATAATTACACTTTGGAAGGGTGTAATTGTGCATAGCATGGAAGCTTTCTCCATGTTTGCACTCGGAGGGATGCAAATTAAGGATCAAAATTGTACATCGAGCCTTGAACTTGTGTATGGATGTGACTTGCGTACACGAATGTCGGATTGAATGGAGTGAAAATTGTAACTGAGCTCATTTTCCACCATTTAACACCAGAAAATTACACTTCTACATAATTTTCAGTTTTGCATAATCTCCAGCTCCAAATCTTTGCACAATTTTCAATTCCAGTTATTTGAAATTTTTTGTTAAAGTCTTGATGGTGTAGTTCTGACACAATTTTATTTCGTAGTAGAAATTAAAGCTCTCAAATTCTCCCAATTCTTTCATTGTATCTTGAGAGATAGACGTTCAAACTAAACCTCAAGCACTGACGGTGAGGGGGCGAATTCGTTTTAAGAAAATTCTGTATACACAAGTCTCGGGTCGCAGATTTACAGTATTTCAGCGCATATTATATTTCTGCAGTTTTTATTCTCCATTTTTTACATTCTTGCTGTAATAAAAAAAGTTTATATTATTCTATATTATCATAACAAAAAGTGTTAGTATCATATCCTCGTTTTGTATACTGGGCACGACAATGAACAATCACATTCCTTTTATTTTCTTTAATTTTCATGCAATCTTCACCTTACCAAATAAGTATGGGAGTGCATAATATTTCTTTTCAAGAAATGCTCTATAAATTCTTATAATTACCAATAAAAATTATTTCTTTGGTCCTGGAAAAATTAATCTTCACAATAATGTTATTTTATTTATTTTTGCTAGACTTCCACCAATGCTAAAATTCCTCGTCGTGGTCTCCAAATCAGTCAACCATTGCCCAAAGCAATATATATGATCACATGTACTCAACAAAGAACCAATGGCAATCTTCATACAAGTTTGTTGGAGTTTGATGGTTGATAAAGTGTGCGTAAGAGTGGTATCAAAATGTGCCTAGCGGCTCAGACATGTGACAGTCTTATTTGAAATGTGTCTAATACTTTTAATCTATCGATCCCTAAGAAAATGATCGTGTTTGGTCAAGGGTAATTTATTGTTTATTGAAAAAAATCAAACTAGACAATCTTTTTAAAATGAGGGAGTGATTATTAAGATTGATCCTCATAATAATTTTTTTTAGAGACTTCCAAGAATGATAAAATGCTTGATCATCTTCAAATCAATCAACCATGGACCAAAGTAATATTTGTTATCACATGTAACCAACAGGTCAGGAATGAAAGTACCACAGGGTTTGATGGTTTGTAAAGTGGGGAAGAGTGGTATCAAAATGTGTCTACTCACCTAGGTTCGATCAACTTGGAATGTAATTGGTGAGATATGAACTGGGCAACCTATATATAGTCGCTTCGTGTTGGACTCGACTTATAGAGTCACAATATCTGTGCACTAGCTAAAAAGAAAAAAAAATTGTATGAGTTTGTAGGCTCAACTTAACACGTGTCATGTAGGCGTTGATACCTTTTGATGTGTCTGTCCTAAGTCGTGTAAGGCCAAGAGTGACCATGCATAAAGTTGCAATAGACTAAGTCAAGCCGACTCGTTGTAATCTAAGGTCAATTTGACCCATTAGCCGAGTTGGGCTCAATCCATGGTCTGTGCCCATGAAGGGCCGAGCCATGAGTTCTTTAAGATTGTCAAGTGTGAGTTATCAATCAAGATTATCAAACTAGATTGAAGGTGATGTTGTGAAGCGTGAGTTGTCAATGATTGAATGTGATGTTGTCAAGTGTGAGTTATTAATCAAGATTCTTCATGTAACACAATTCTATATATAGTTATACACTACGTACATACTTGTTGGGATTGTTGTCTCAAATATTCTAATTTAAAAGGACTTGTATTGCAAATATGTTTTAAAATTGTTACCATTTAATATTCGTTTTCATGGTGAATTCCTTTTGTTGGTGAATGACCTGTATTTTCTCTGATTGGAAGTGTTGGTATAAATTTGAAAAGGAAACAAATGGACAGTACTTGATCAATCTGCATTTGGAGTACTTTTTGGGTCTTGCATGTATCTAAGATTTATTTTATATAGAAAATAAATTTTGATTTGAGGTTTGATTATTTTTTTGTAGTACAAGACTAGAGAGTTCGTATTTTTCAAAAATACAGAGGGTTTTTAGGTGAGTGAAATTCTATATGATAGAAAATTTGATAGTTCGTAAATTTTTTTTATCTTTTTTATTTTATTTATTTATTGTTTTTCTCTGAACAATAAGAATCCAGTGGACAAATAAAGGAATTGGTCTTATTTTCCAATAAGTGATATTAGAGTAATGAAAAATTATAGCAAGTACAGGTTTGCTATATTTACAAAAAATGGTTGACAGAATTGATACAGATAACACTTGCCAACAACCCGTCGACTAATGGATAAAAAAGAAAAAAGAAAAAAAAAGACACCAAATGCTGCCATCACAACACCTGGTGCAATTCTGGCAGCAATTCCTCTGTACAAGAGGAATTGCTGATAGCAAGTATGAAATATGACGTGGAGGAATTTGTTGAGAGAATAATTTTGACTTGTGACAAGTACAAGTCAACAATGAGCTGATTTAGTTTGGATTGCGCATGACTTTGAAAGGAAGATCAATTCGATCAAGTATGGATAAACTAGTCACTTTAGTGTATATTATCTAAAAGGTGGAGCATACTTGGTTAGTTGATCGAAGTTGAACAATGAGTCTCTTCGTGGAAGACGTTGATGAAGTCGTTTGAGTAAGATTTATAGTCTCATGAGATGCTCTAGTTGTCATGATAGACAACGTTGTTACAATTAGTGGATCCACATGTTTGCATATGGATATTGATGACATTGATGTAGAGTGTGTAGGTGTTTGGTGGAGTAGATGTCGATGGCTAATAAGCTCTTTTGAAAGTTGAGCAAAAGGGTTACACCATGAATTTTTAGCAATTTGTTTCGGCGTGAACTAATGAAATTCTGAAGAGATTTTTTTGTTAATTCTAAGTGATTATATTCATCTGCTATAGTACGTTAATTCTCCATTTTTAGAATTGGGTTGTCCAAGTTTTTCAAATTCTATATATACACACACACACACCCCTCTCTCTCTCGAGTATTGAAATCAAAAGTTACGGTACTCAAAAATTCTTTCTTCAGAGTACTTATATTGCAAATAGGTGCTGAATTTGCAAATATTTAAGATACCTTTCGATGGTGAATTTCTTTTGCTTGTAGGGCGGCATGACCTTACTCTGATTGAAAGTGTTATTTTCAATTGAAAAGTAAACAAATGCGCAGTCCTTGGTCTAGTTGAATTTGGAGTACTTTTGAGGTATATTATGTATTGAAAAATTTGTTATACATAGACCATATTTTTCTATTTTATATTACGTGATTAGAGAGTTTTGGTGAGGAAAAAATTGTAAGTTCAATGTTACCTACTGAAATAATTATTGTTCATTCAAATTCCACGTTAGCCATAAAAGGGCTCATTACATGCCCACACGTCTTTGAAAATTTGCACCTCAGCCGTAAAGTAAGCTGAGTGAAAGATGTCTTGATCACCTAGACTTCCCTGAGCAAAGGAGTGGAAAAAACCCTAATACTTGACTAGAAACGTGATTGGAGGCCTTGGTCAGCAACAATACTAAAGGCCTTGATTTGACCTTATACATGGGCAAAACCTCGTGAATTTTGATAGAATCAAACTCGACTTTAGTGCACTAAACACAGGCCTAAAAACAATGAATTAGTACTCGACGAAAGTGACAAAGCACAAAACTTCAACAAGCTTTGAAAATGGGACTTAATCATGACTTTCAACATAATGATGAAAGAATGTCAACCCACCGGAATGACCCTAAAAATGCATATGAACAAGTCCATTGTACCATGAAAAACTGAAAATCAGATATCTAGACTTCCACTCTTAGAAATGCCTCAGATAAAAAGAATATCCGGGGTTGAACCTCTCGAAAATTAAGACACTATCTCTTATTCCAGTCAAAATAATGGTGGAATTTTCGTCTCTCTTTATATACAAACAATTGGCTTCCAAAATACACTTAAAATATCCCCAAAAGGGGAAAACCTTGTTGAAATTTGAAGGAAAAAAAAAAAAAAAAAAAACAAAACTGCCATTGGCTTTAAAATATAATATCCACTAAAAGCCAACTTTCAGAGATTGAAAGAATATCTCATATCGACAATTTCGGAGATTAAAAGAATATCTTTGAACGAAAACATCGCGACAGAGGAGCTAAGCTAAGAACCCAAGTGACTTAACACCTTTAACTTGTATGAACGAACATCTTGGAGATTGAAATGGTATCTATGACCGATACACAGTTGACACGGGAGGTTAGCTAAGAACTTAAGAGTAACTCACCTCATTTACTCTACACAGACCAATCTTTTGGGGAATGAAAGAATATCTCCAAGCAAGAGCATCAAAAAGATCGAAAGAACATTCCTCGTAAAACGGTTTCAAATTGAAAGAATATTTGGTGTCGAAACTATCAAGGGATTGAAAGATCATCCCTCATAAAAAGTCCTCGGACTGAAATAATGTCGTGCTGGATCTCTTGAGGATTGGAGAAATATTTCTGATTGAAAAGGTCACACAACTATCAAGATTCAGGCTCCCTCTGGCCAAAATTCCTTGGAGCACATATAAAGTTGGAATGTCATCTAGAAGCTTTAGATTCCCTTCTATCTTGGAATCCATATGTAGCCGAAAATCCATAGAAGCCAATCTATTATACTTTTATCTCTCTTTAATATAATACTTCGACGAAGCAAGCCGAAAAAGAAGTGCAACAGTTAAAATTCTTTATTTTACATAAATATGAAACTCAAACTCGAGGGACTAATGTTACTCATTGAAATAATTATGGTCTATTTGGATTTCACTTTAGCCACAAAAGCACACCATTGCATACTCACGTCTTTGAACATTTGTGTCTAGTTGGTCGAGGCACAGTCAATGAAAGATGCCTCGATCACCGATGTTCTCCTAAGGAGACAAAACCCTAACACTAGCTAGAAACTCGATTGAGGCCTATTCTAGCAACAAGATGAAAGACCTCGGTTTGGCCTCGAAAATGGATGAGAAATTTAGTGCAAGTTCTGACATAATTGAACTGGATTTTACTGCAATAACCTAGTACTAGCATGCAAATAATTAAGTACTAATAAGTGTCGCAAAGCACAAACCTCGACAAGGTTTGGGAATGTGGCTTAATTATGACTTCCTAACATAATGATGAAATAATGACAATTCTTGAAAATGATAAAAATATTTCCAAAATATGCATATAAATAAGACAATTGCACCATTGAAAAATACTCGAAAATTTAATTTTCAAACTTTCACTCTAAAAAATTCCTTGAATTGAAAGAACATTTGACGACGAACCTCTGGAAATTGAAACACTATTTTCAATCGAGAAGCATTTTTTGATCAAAATAACATATCGATCTTTCTCTTTTTATACAAACAATTGACTTTTGAAATTTGGCGAGAAAAACTATTGCTGACTTTGAAGATATGGAAAAATTTCATAACCATAATAGTTTAAGAATACAATTTCAAATTTTACGAACTTGTAGTAAAAAACTAGTTGTTATGCGACTGTGACATGTTTTGATAAATGGATATGACATAAATTGTGTGATTATGTGACCTATTAGTTATATTTATGTGACGACGTAATTTTTGAAAACGAGAAGTTAATCTTTGATTAATGAAACTAAAACTAAAAAAAAAAAAATATGGTTTCTGGTAATTTTCTCCAAAAATAATATCAATTTTTGAGGTCACACCCAACATTATAGTTTTTTTTTTTTTTTGGTGGGTTGTTCAATTCGTGGTTGTGGTAAAATTTATGATATTTTTCTTGTAATATTTGAAAGGTTTAGGTGTGCGAAAGTATAAATTTTTCATATATTAAAAGTTTTGATAGTACATACATTTTTTGTCTTCTCTTATTTAATAAAATCTCAAGGACAAATAAAGAAATTAGTCTTAATCCTGGTTTCTATTAATGGTGGTTGAAACTGCGAAGAGACCCTTAAGAGAAGGAGATGCTGAAAAAGCACAGAATTCAGGCTGGCAAAGTGAGCTGGCTGTCCATTATGATGCAATAAAAAAGGTAAAAAGTCAGAGGCTTATGCATTCATTATCTCTTCAACTGTGAAATTCATTTCGCCATTTAATAGCATTTTGAGTTGATAATTTCTGTGGCATTTAATTCTACCTGCCGGTAAGACTTATCAGTTATCACTCACCATGTACTGTGTGTTCTTATACATATATTATATGTAATTGTGAGAAAACACAGAGAACAAGGCCAACCAGAGGTAGCCACATAAAGAAAATCTGCAGAAGTTTGAAGGGGAATTGTGAGTGTGCAATTTTCTGAATTTTCTGTCTGCCACACAATGGCTTTGGTCGGTGGTGCAGCAGCAGAAGCAGCAGCTCTTAAGAAACTCAAAATCTTGCTCTTTATTATTCTTTGGATCAACACACTTACTCTCTCTCAAGGTGCTTCTTTCTTCAATACTTTGTCTTTTGCCCTCTTTCGACCTGTTTCTTACTCATCTCCCTCCGGCCCAACCCCTTTCTCTCCGGTCTTGACTATGGTGGACCGTATAGACGAGGGCTGGTCTTGAGATTTTGGGATGGGTCCTTCGAAATTAATATTACGCATCCTCTCATCTATTTTCGGCCTTGACTTATTTTTGAGAATAATGCTACTTTGCTTGAAGAATCAGGCCAGATGCAATGACAGACGGGAGGTGATTGAGTGGAAAAATTGAATATGTTTAAAATAGTTCGATAATTAAACGTCACGTGACATTATATCAAACTTTTTAACCAACTTTCTGGCTTGTAGCATAATTGTATTTTCGAAGGCTCATATAAAGTTGTCTCGAGGCTCTCGAAATCTCAAGATCTATCTATAAGTTTGTAAATATTATTATTATTTTTTGCACATTTAAGATTGCCTACACGTTATATACAATTTAATTTAATTTTTTTTTTTTTTCTCCAACAACTTGGAAATAATTTCCATGCAGCTTATGAACATTCAGGACAGTATCGATACCCTTTCATAAGACCAGCAAGCTCATTCTCCCAACGGCCGTCCGCGGCCGAGTCCCCTTCATGGAGAGGCGCAAGCAAGAAATATGACTACATAATCATTGGCGGTGGTACAGCCGGTTGCCCACTCGCGGCCACCCTAGCGCGAAACTTCAGCGTACTATTACTCGAAAGAGGGGGAACCCCTTTTGCCAATGCAAATGTATCATTTTTGCAGAATTTTCACATTTCCTTAGCCGATACTTCACCAACCTCTGCATCACAGCTATTTATTTCTACCGATGGAGTTTTCAATTCTAGGGCTAGAATCTTGGGTGGAGGTACCTCCATCAATGCAGGATTTTACACCAGAGCAAGCGCAAGGTATAACTCCCAACTGCCTACTGTCCACATTTTTTTACTTCTTTCCTACTTCGAGTTATAGTTTCCATGTTTTGTTGTAAATTGCCTTGTAATTAGACGTTTATGCTAAGTTTTGAAACGAATGTAAAGATAATTTACTTTCATTAAGGGATTTATTAGATAATTGGGAAATTGAAATCAAGAATGGGGCGCTGAGCAGATATTTCTTAACCAGTCAAATTTAAGATTTCCACCAGTTCTGAGCCATCATCATCAACGAAGTCATTATTGAGTCGATTAAGGATAATTTTAAAAACCCATGTCAAAGTAGGCCAATTATCTTGCTAGAAAGTGATTGACTCTTGATAAAAGTATTGCCATTTATAGAGGGGCAAAATATGTATAAATTGTCATAGGTCATTTTTTAATTTGTTGGTTGATATGTTCTTCATTTGGTAATAAATAATTCATGTGGTCCTACTTTACCAAGACATTTATAATAGTCTTACATCCAAATAACAAAAGAAGTTGTACCTTACCTACACACCATAACTTCTCATGTATTGCATTCAATTCAACTCTTTTTCTTATACTTACATACTATATGCCTAATCATGTTGTACACTTATTTTCATAGCTTTCGAGTATCTAATAGCATTAGGCCTTGGTTTGTTACTACACAGAAAGAGAGTATTTAAGTAGAGAGTTAAAATCCCGGGTTAAGTTGGGCTAGTACTATTCCAGGTATTCCTTCCCATTTTTTTGATATCAATCATTTCACTTGGCTCAATTCTAGTCTCTCGATATTGGTTACCATTTTTGGGCTATCGACTCCTTCACTTGGCTCAGTTCTAGTCCCTTTTTATCAGAACTACGCATAAAAATATTGGACCTTCTTCCTTTGATTTTCGAGCAAAATTTTTGTAAAGATGATTGATATGTGTCAACTTGTTAATACTTGATTTTTGTGATTCTTAGGTACATTAAGAGAGTGGGGTGGGATGCAAAACTGGTGAATGAGTCATATCCATGGGTTGAGAAGCAAGTTGTGTATAGGCCAGAGCTTGTTCCATGGCAGAGAGCAGTTAGGGACAGCCTTATAGAAGTTGGAATCTCACCTTTCAATGGATTCACCTATGATCATGTATATGGAACCAAAATTGGTGGAACTATTTTCGACAGGTTCGGCCGGCGTCACACTGCTGCTGAGCTTCTCGCCTCTGCAAATCCCGATAATCTCAATGTTTTAGTACATGCAACAGTCCAAAAGATTGTGTTCAAGAAAACAGGTATACATGAATCAACGGGTCTAGACTGTACAAATGACGAGATTTTACTGTGTGATTTACTATAAGTATCATGGTAATATGCTATGCTATTACAGGTAAAAGACCACGGGCAGTAGGAGTCGTGTTCAAGGACGAAAGTGGGAAGCAACACAAAGCATTTCTTTCTGAGAGGTCGAGGAGTGAAATTATTGTGTCATCTGGAGCAATTGGGAGCCCTCAACTGCTGCTTCTTAGTGGGATTGGCCCGAAGGCAGATCTTGAAAAATTGAACATATCTGTGGTTCTTGACAATGAATTTGTTGGAAAGGGCATGGTTGATAACCCTCTCAACACAATCTATATCCCAACTAAGAGGCATATCAAGCAGTCTTTAATACAAATTGTGGGAATTACTAAGTTGGGTGTGTACATTGAAGCTAGCAGTGGATTTGGACAGTCCATGGATAGCATTCATTGGAACAATGGAATTGTTTCTGCTAAGGTAGTACCACATTTATTCATGTAATTTCATTGAAAATCTCAAGTATATATCTCATAATTAGTATGCAGTATTCGACAGGATTATACTCTAGAACACAGAATATATTAGCTTCTTTTTCTTCTTTCATGCTGTCTAATGCTATATAGTCAACTCTACCAAACAATGGCGTTTTGTTATATGAACAGATAGGGCAGCTACGGACCATTCCTTCAAAGCGAAGATCACATGAAGTGATTCAAGAATACGTAAAAAGAAAGAGAAACATTCCACATGAAGCATTTCAGGGAGGTTTCATTCTAGAGAAGATAGCTTCGCCCCTGTCAAAAGGCCAACTCACCCTGCTCAACACAAATGTAGACGATAACCCATCGGTCACCTTCAACTACTTCAACCACCCGAATGATTTAGCACGATGTGTGGATGGTATACGCCTTGTTGAGAAGATTTTGAAGTCTGAACACTTTGTAAAGTACATGCAGTGTGACAAGGAAACAGTTGAAAAGATACTAAACATGAGTGTTCATGCCAATGTTAATCTGATACCTAAGCATACCAACGACACAAAATCCCTTGAGCAGTTTTGTAAAGACACGGTAATTACAATTTGGCACTACCATGGAGGCTGCCATGTGGGCAAGGTGGTGAGTCCGGATTATAAGGTACTCGGGGTCAAAAGACTTCGTGTTATTGATGGCTCAACTTTCGCTGGCTCCCCTGGAACTAATCCTCAAGCTACTGTGATGATGATAGGCCGGTAAGAACATCTTTTTCTTTATTTATAAGAGAAAATTTATTGAAAAATTTTTAAGAAATATATATCAACTTACACCTTGAATTACATATGTAGGTACATGGGAGTGAAGATATTGAGAGAAAGATTAGGGAGAGCAGCGGGAATATAAAGACAAGCATCAAGTAGAGAAGTAGACAATGTTCAATTTATTGTGTATGTTTTCTAGAAAATGTGATTTTTGTCATTCTGATTTATTTTATGATAGAGAGAGGCAGGGCTTAGAATTTTAGGAGTAGATATCCTGTGGCGTTATTTAATGTATGATTGCATCCTAGACTTGTGTTTCATTTGTAATGCTATGTTGATGCATGTGTCCATTAGTTGCCTGACGTTGGACTTTCCATGGTGAAATCTGTTAGAATATTATAGATTGTATATAATACATTTATGTTCCTATTATAACATAGAAGATCACATTTATAGGACTATAAATAAGGGAAATTAGTACAAAGCCTTCTTACCTTTCAACATTATTGTGCAAAATGTCTTTACCTTTTCATTTTATTTTTTATTTTTTTGCATTTTCACTTTTCACTGCGGAAATCATCATTTTCATCCAATTTCTTAATAAAAAAAAAGATAAAATAACAAATATACTCTCTTATTTAAATAAAACAAAAATTAAAGAACAAATTGTAATTATACTCTCAATTTTTTTTAAAAAAAATGTAAACGAATCTAAATAAATTATTAAAAAGGTAATTAGCACAAAACATCCATTCCTTTTAATATAATTGTGTAAAATGTCCATACTTTTCATTTATTGGCATCTTCACCCTTATTTTCATATTACATTGCGAAAATCATTATTTTCATCTATTTTCTCAATTAAAAGCTGTAAAATGACAAATATGCCCTCATATTTAAATAAAACAAAAATAAAGGAAAGAAAAATAAAGAACAAATTATAACTATATTCTTAAACTTTTCAAAAAGTACAAATAAATTTTAAATAAATAATTAAAAAATGAAAACAATTTTTCTTATTTTTAGTTTTTAATTAATTATTTGAAATTTATTTGTACTTTTTTGAAAAATTTGATAGTAGAGTTGTAATCTGTTCTTTATTTTTGTTTTATTTAAATATGAGGTGTATTCATCATTTTACAGTTTTTAATTTAGAACATTAATGAAAATTATGATTTTCGTAATAAAATATGAAAATAAGGGTGAAAATGTCAAAAAATGAAAGGTGTGGACGTTTTGTACAATAATATTGAAAGGTAGGGATATTTTGTACAATTTTAATAATTTATTTGGATTTATTGCACTTTTCTAAAAAATTTGAGGACGTGATTGCAATTTATTCTTTTATTTAAGTGTGAGGATATACTTATCATTTTACATTTTTTTATTGAAAAATTAGATAAAAATGATGATTTGAGCAATGAAAAGTGCAGATAAGATGAAAATACTAAAAAACTGAAATATAAGAACGTTTTACACAATAACATTGAAAGATAGAAATGCCTTGTGCTAATTACTTCTACAAATAACTCTAAAAGAAAAGATTGTGTACAATCAACTATTAAAGAAAATAATATCATATAAACGGAAAAATATTATAGAGATTATTCTTTACAATCTTTCTATATCCTCAACATCCTCCCTCAAACTTAATATAATGTATCACCAATCAAATTGAATTTGAAAATTAAATTGATCCAATCAATTTTTCCTCTTCCAATGATCAAATGATACTTCAAAACTGCTTGCAAGACAACCAAGACTAACAAATAACTCAAAGTTGGTAAGAAATAAAAGTCATCATCAGCCACTAGTTTAAATGTCTAATCAAACCATTTCCAATACTTGAAGGAGACACCTAGAAGTATAACGAACAAGGCTAAAACAAGATAATTAGACAAGCAACAATAGACCGGGCAACGATAGACCATGTTTAATAGTAGTACCACGAAATCCATGGTAGTATCTATACAACACTTACAGATGAATGAAAGACTAATGAAATAAGAACACTGACACACGAGAAGGCTAAAATAACATATGTGATGGAAATAAATTCAATGGAAAATAATATGATTTTCTTCAAAATATTTCTAGCATCAACAAGTCTAATAAAGTTTCAAAACTAATTCTTGATTTTCTCAAAAACGAATTCTCCACAAGAAGGAAGGAACAAGAATAACCAACATAACAGGATTTGAATTAATATGAAATTTAAATTCAGATTAAATTAATATCAAAAGAAAACTGGGCTGGACAGAATAGGGATAGAATATATAAAAAAGAAAAAGAATTTGGCTAAATGATACTATGTAAAACAAAACAAGAAAACTTGATTGGACGAGTAGGGCAGGGCCACTTGACAGAAGCTTGTAGGTTTAACTCAAAATTAATTTAAACTCGTTTTGATACCATGTTATAATATTATAAATTATATATGATAAACTTGTGTGTTCCTATTACAACCTTAAACCTAGAGTGATAAAATTTCAAAACAAAATAAAGGCAAAAAACATGAAAAAAATTATAGAGATTCGCTTCAATGTGAGTTTTAGTACTCGATCGTCCGCCGTCAGAGAAATTCACTATATGATGAAAAGTATTTTACAAGAGAAAAATCACACAACATATTCTCTCTAACATATTTATTTATTTTTATAATTATATAAAATCCTAACTACAGCTTCTTATTCAAAAAAAAAAAAAAAAAAATTAGGACAAAATAGAAAATTGCAAGTTCAATCCGTCTACTGACTCTGCATAACGATAGTAATTAGGTACCAAAATTAATACGGACAAATGGAATGAATGAAGTGACTTATGGAAAACTCAACGCGAAGTTACATATCTATATTAAAACAAAATTTATAAAAATGAATAATCGAAGTAGAACCAATATGTAAGTTCCGTGTGCCCCCGGGGGCATAGCCCATTGATGCAAATAATAGGAGTGAGGTTATCTCACGTCTTGCTGGTAGCCGTCATGTGGGGATTTGATTCCTGAACCATGAAATTGGACTTCTTATAGGCGCAGGTTGCTAGAGCACATCCAACGATTTACCTCATTCACAAAACTTTAGGGGCGGGACGATGGGGACCCTCAGGATTGGGGTTTAACCTTTTTTTTAATATGTAAGTTCCGTGACTAAACACCCGCTTTCGACAGTTTCACGAAATATGGGGGAGAGGGAGGCATTGGCATTCAAGTCTCCACATGTACTTCACCGTCGTAATAAATGTGGCTTGGCCAAAAAGGACAGAAAAATAAATGTTATAGGCAGTAGGCTCTTCCGTGAAAAGCTGGTGCCTTCTCTTCCGTGAAAGGCTGGTGCCTTCATTTAAATTTCTGTAAATTATTTAAACTCACTGTTGGGCTGTGATGTCAAATCCGATCTGCTGGGCTATGATGATAAATGGGCCTTTAAGGTCCAATGGGTTCGTTTGCTATTGCTTCATAATTTCATTTCTCGCCCCAAAACTCGAATCCTATATTAACGGCTTAAATCGTGTTTCCAAATGCAACTTTGGCTGTAATGGTAATTGATTAGTTGTCAGGTGCTCTGGACCTTTGATCTCAATCTGATTTCAATTGTAATTGTTGGGGTTATGAATAATGTCATTAGGATATGTATGATTGCAAGTATAAAATTTTTATGGAAAGAAAATAAGTTTTAGGCAATTTTTTCTTTCTAGGCAATTAAATTAGGGAAAAACTCACATCTCAGGTGTTATGTTTAACCCAATTCAAAAATCAAGTAAATAGTTTGAAAATTCAAAAATCAGGTATGCATTTAATTAATTAAAAATATTTATTAAATAAAAATAATAAAGTCATAATTACATGATTAATAGTCACATATTTATTTACTGACCACATATCGTCAAATTAATTGGTCACATATTATTTCGTGATTACAAATTAAAAATTTTGTAGGTCACATATTATTTCGAAATCACATGTCATTCAAATTACATGTCACATTTTATCTATGGGTACATAAGTTGGTCACAAATTATTTTTTATTTAGATACCTAATATTTAGTCACAAATCAGCTAAGTAGTTGATTACAGATCCCTAAATAGTTGGTCACGAACACTTAGTTGTTGGTCACAAATACTCCACCCGTTACTGTCATTGCTACAGCACACCACCACTGCCACCACCATCGCACAATGCACCATCCACAGCACACCACCACCACCACCACCACCACCATTTCCTTTATCTCCATTTACACCACACCTAACCACCACCTCACCAAAGAATTCACAAACCCGTCACCACCACTTCAAAAACGCAACAAAACATGCCAAAAAATTACACCACTACCTCCAAATTCAACAACCACCATAGCTTATTCATTTCACCACCACAGCTTGCCGGAGTGGGTAGATCTGCATCGCGAGGAAGATACGAACAGGAAGATGAGAGAAGATGGAGAGTTAGAGTGAGAATAGATTATTACAGTTTAAAAATGGCTCGAATTCTGATGGTCTTGTGTCGATACTCAGAGGCGGAGGTGTCTCCAGTGGCAGTCACTCCTTGACAGCGATAACAGTCGAAGGATAAGGTAGAGAGAGAGAGGAAAAAAATGGAAAAAAATAAAATTTCCACCTTTTTTCCTTATTTGAATGCAAAAATTTTCTTGACAATTCATCTTGCTCCCTCCTTCCTCATGTGACCGATTTTTCTTGGTTTTGTGGAAAAACCAATTTCCATGGATTTGGTGGGAAATCAGTTTTCCACATTTTTTTTTGACAATGGAAACAAATTATATCCCTTTAATTGATAATTTTCATGAAAAACAAAGTCAAATGAATATCAAAAGATCCAAAATTTCAATATTTTTCAGTGAAAGATTATATTAGTCAAACACATTTAATTGACAATTCCCAATAAAATAAATTTAGGCAATTCAATTTTTTGGAATTCGTTTTCTTTCCATCCAAATTTCATTTTTGCAATTAAACGGGCCCTTGTATTTATGAAAATTGTCAATTAATTATGTTTGAATGACTTAATTTTCAACCTAGAAAATATTCTATATTTTCATCTTTTATTAGTGGATGAACGAGAGAGTATGCGAATTACTTGAAAAAAAAAAAAAGAAGCATCTCTCTCATCAAAAAAATCTTTTTTTCTTGATTTTTTGAAAAATACCTTTTATGGAAAAGAAAATGTCGATCATACATCTCAAAATTAAGAAATTGAGTGGGAAAAAAAGAGAGCATTTTCTGTAGAAAAATAAAGTCAATCAAAAACACCATTAGTGGTTTCCCTTTTCATTCCAACATCTGATTTCTTTAAGAGGCTAGAGTTCTCTCTATACTTTTGTTCATCTTCAACTTCTGGTTGGACCTTTTCGTGAGTATATATTATAAGTGAATCCTTTGAAGATTCTGTATGATTCTATGTAAGAAGGGTGTTTTGGATTTGGGTTGAGGTCTTTTGATCCATTGATACAACTTCAATAAGTCATTAGAGGGTACAATAAATTCAATTCCCTTCTGTGATATCTTGATGATCTAACTCTGATAGTATTGTTCACGAAAATGTACGATCAGTGGTGTCAACGAACTGAGCTGAAACTTGAGGCTCAAGCTCTATTCAAGTAAAATGGTCCGAGTTTTTTTACGAGCCCGACCCGAGCTTTTGCTCAACTAAGAAATCTAGGCTCAATCCTTACCGAGCCGAGCTGAGCAGGATAGGTTTATTTAAGATTGTTGCCTAAAAAGAGCACTCGACTACCTAAAAAAGGCAGCGTGTTGCTGCCTTTACATAATTTTTTTTTTAATAAAAAGGCTCGTGAGCCCAAGCCAGCCACACGGGCCTGCTCGGGCTCAGCTCGGAACCCCAAAATGGGGCTCGGCTGGAGCCTCGAGGCGGGCCGCTTAGGCATTTCCGAGTTAAGCTATGGATGGTCCAAAACGACGAGCCAGATTACCATCCCCATGTACTATTTATTCTTCAAAATGTAATTTTGTATAGCTCTCGTTAATAATGAATATCAACATTAATCCCTTGTTTGAGCCCCATTTTAATAAGAAAATGTAATTTAGAATAATAATTTTTCGAAGTCGTCTATAGTAAATTATTTGCATCTTAGAATTAAATAAGAGATTATTAACATTCAATTATTGTCCCAAGCTAAAAGAAGAGGTACTGAGTAGTCAATTAACGCCATCTAATTATTAATTTATGAGCCAACCGTCTAAACCGAAGCTTAATAAATTATTCTTTGATATTGCAGTACAAGGTTTTGTTCAATAATATTATTGTTTCCTCTTGACAACATATGTAGGGGCAGCTAACTAAAAACAATATATTAATTAGTACTAATAGCTAAATTTTATATAAATAAAATTAAACAAATTCATTTACTCATTTTCTGACTATTAGTTATATTCTCAATTAATTAATTAATTAATTAACAAACAACAGCTGGTGTAGGGTTTCTATCCAACTTGACTCTTTATCTGCTTGCCAAATTTAGGTACATAACCATTTTTTAGGTGTGAAAAATTTGGTATTCTTTGCTGAATTTTGATAATAACTTGGTATATATATATTTTTAATCATATACTTGTATGATTGATTACAGTACGTGAATCTTATCACCTATGTGTACGACTTTATGTATGATTGATGGATTGATGATTTGCAAGATGACGTGGACTTTAAATCATGATTTACAATCATATTTTATCACTTTCAAAGATAGTATTGATCTAATCGACATATCTTGCATTGAATCTCTCTGTTCACTAGATTTTGGATGCGTATGTTCGATGAAATTCACTTCATGATTTTTCCATACCTCTTCTAACAAAATTGTCTAATTTTGTCAATCTATTAACTATCTCATTGAACGATGAGATAATTTTAAAGCAAAAATAAGAGATGATATTAATACATACTAAAATTCTCTATGATCGATAATACTATTTCTTATCATAGTACACATTTTAACTTTTGAGTGTCATGCATAGAATTTAAATTGTATCCTAAAATAACCATATAGTTGGTGAGGTGGAAACGTCTAATTCAGTCACAAGTCCACTTCATAAACAAGACCAAAATCTCAAAAAGATAAAGAGGAAAAATCCTCTTTATAAATTTTTCATTAAATTATTTAACAATTTTGGTTCAATTTTAATTAATAATCAGTGGACTCACCTAACTCGAATTCTATCATTATAATACATCAAATTCTGGCACCGTTTTTTCGAGAACTATTAGGGCGGACTTTCAACCTTTCACATGGTGTTAATATGGGTCACGAACCTTCAAAATTGAAGTTTTGGGTCCTAAGCCTTTTAAATTTATGAATTGTCTCCCTATGTGATCAAAACCGTCAATGTGGACTATAAAATCCAACATGTTTTTAAGTGACTTAATATTGAAGGGTAAAAAAGTTCAACCACTTGACATTTTTCTCTAACAAAAAATATGAATTAACATAAAAGAATTGTAAATTTTAGGAACAAAAAGATAAAACGGCTTTCAGGCAACTCGTGGACTGCTTGGCTTGGCCCACCATAAGCTAAGCCTTGCCCTATTTTGGGTTATTGAGTCGATTGCAACTCGGCTCACTAATCCACAAGCAAGCCAACTCTAGATAAAAACTAGATAAGTAGCTATAACTCGACCGAAATATATTTTTACTAACTGTGTAGATTTACACAACACATATTAAGGCCACTAAAAGTTTTTACATAGTCCATAAGGGTATCTTATCATCATGTATGAAGAACCATACAAAGTTACTACAACTATTATTACCTTCATGAAATTACATATCGTATCGACTATGATCAAGAACCTCAATCTTTAATAATGAATGTAAAAGAAGAATCATAAAAAGTTACTACAACTATTATTACCTTCATGAAATTAAATATCTTATTGACCATGATCAAGAACCTCCATCTTTAATAATGAATGCAAAAGAAATATATAGGAAAAGAACACACAATAAAGCATAACAATTAATGGATGTCAGAAGCTCATGTCCGAGGTCCTACCATTTACTGCCTAATATGCATGGCATAAATCAAGCTTCCAACTTGTCTCAAATATTTGGTTCAAAGCAGACTTTTATGAAGTTTATTATTGCATAATACAACTATGATGCAAAATCCTAGTATGTATAAATGCATTGGGAACCAATAAAACAATATAGAATTAAGAATGACATCATCATTCTTCATAATTAAGAAAAAATATCCTTTGTTTACAGAGCCGAACCTGAGCATAGGCTCAACAGGCCGCTGCCTCAGGCCCAACTTTTCGAGGGGGCCCAAATTTTTTTTTCGTAAAACCCACTAATTAACGTAAAAAAATCCTCCCATAATTGAGATGTTTTGTAAATGTCTTTTACGTTAAGTTTTAAGTTAGCAATTGGTTGTATAATACACCGTTGAATTTTGATTTACGTTGATTTTGGGGGCCCAATTTATGGAGTTCGCTTCGGGCCCTTACGATCACAGGACCGGCCCTGTTTGTTTATCTCTCCAAGGTCGTCTATAATTTTTAGTCAAAGTCAATATTAAGGGGGTGTTTGATAGGTATTTTTATGTAAAAATGCATTTTAGAATAGTAAATTAATGTGAAATATGTGGTTGAAAAATAAAGAAAAGTTTTTGATTTACGTGTAATATTATTTTAATAAAGAATGTGTGGTTGAAAAAAAGAGAGAGAAAAATACATTTTGAAGAAAATGGCTACCAAACGAGCTCTAAATTTAACCACACATTCACGTACAACTATGATCCACTTAATATTTCATATGATTCCTTACTTTTTTTTTCTTTATAAAATTATAAGTAACTTATTAAGAAATTCAAACATACTTACTATCCCACTTGACTTGTTAAACTAAAGTCTATCTGCTTGCTGAATTTAGGTACATGGCATTTATTTGGTGTGAAAAATTAGGTTTTCTTTGCTTAATTTGATTGCTAACTTGAAGAGCGTACATATATCATGTTTGCACGATTGATCACACGTGAGATGGCTGTAAACCTTATCATGTATATGTCTGTACAATTGATCACCTGTAAAATGACGTGAGTTATAATTATGTTTCAGTCAATTTTAAAGAAAGCCGAAATCAAATCGACTTAACTTACACTGAATCTCTACGTGCCCTAGAGTTTGGACATGTGTTCCACTGCTTCCCCCATGCTTTGCGATACATATAACATAATTCTCTATTCAGTCAATCTATCAACTATCTTCTTGCACGAAAAACCAATTTTAAAGAAAGAAATAAGAAATGAGTTTAATATTCGAAATCTCTGTAATCAACTAATATTTTCCTGAATTCCTCATCAAAGTGTAACTTCGCTGTCAAAAGATCCTACAAGAAATGTATAGAATGTAGGTGAAGTGGAGACATCTAAATCAGTCACAAGTCCACTTCATAAGCAAGACCAAATTCTTAAAAACAAAAATTCAAAAAAAAAAAAAAAGAAAAAAGGAAAAGAAAAAAGAAAAAGGAAAAAGGAAAAAAAAATCCCTGTTAGTCGCTTTTAAAATTTTCATTAAATTATTTAACAATCTTGATTCAATTTTATTTAATATTACATATTAAAAACTTTTATGAAGGTCCCAATTCTAAATTTTAGTTAAAATCTAAAATTACATATTTAAGTAGGTTGGAGATTAAGCCCCCGTTTGGTCTCATTCTCTTTCATTTTTTTCTTCTCTCTTATTTTCAACCACAAAATCTTCCATAAAATGGTATTAATCGAAGATTTTTCTTTCTTTTTCATCATTTAAAAAAAAAAGTATTCCAAATATTAAAATTTGGAAAAATGGGGGCCAAACGAGGACTATATTTTCCTGATTTTTGTGTCTCTGGTGATCAGGATAAAAACTTTTATGAAGGTTCCAATTCTAAATTTTCCATTTTTTCACTAAATTTTTTAAAACGGACTTGTATTTAACTATTTATGCATTTGTTAAGCAGTTGCTGTCGCTGGAAGTTCAATTTCCCACCTGCTCATTCTTTGTCCCTTTCTCTCTCTAAACACAATCGCTCTTCTCTCTCTATATATATCACCAACTCCATGTATATTTCTATGATTCAAAACCCTAGTCACACTGTGAGAGAGAGAGAGAGAGAGAGCGAGAGAGAGAGAGGAGAATTTACATAATTACGCAATATGACGGATAGAGTGTACCCATCAGCCAAGCCGACGGCCAAAGGGGGCGGCCCCGCCCCCGCCGTAAATGGTGGCTCCAACCCAAACAAAGCTCAATTATACAACGCCACTCGCCCCATGTACCGCCCTCAACCACCGCGGCGTCGCCACCGCCGGAGCTGCTGCCGCTCTATCTGTCTTTGCACCACCCTCATAATACTCTTTCTCCTGCTTCTTGCCGCCATCGCCGGCACCCTTTTTTGGGTCTTTTACCACCCTCACCGCCCTTCTTTCTCAGTTTCCACCCTCCACCTCTCCAAATTCAAACTCACCGACACCGCCATCACCTCGACCTTCGACCTCACTCTCACAGCACGTAACACTAACAAGAAAATTGTCTTCCTCTACGATCCCATCGCCGTGAAAATATTTTCCGGCGACATCACTGTAGGCGATGGATCTTTACCGGGCTTTACTCAAGCTACCAAAAACTTTACCACTTTGAGAGCTGTAATTTCAAATTCTTCCCCATTTTCCGATGGCACCGACACTTCTCCATTGAAATCGAGCTTGAAGAACAAGAATTTGCAGCTCAAAATCACGCTCGAAACCAAAGTGAAAGTCAAAATGGGAAAGTTGAAAACGAAGAAGCTAAAAATTAGGGTTAATTGTGATGGTATTAAAATATCGGTGCCCACCGGAAAGTCGCCGACGACGGCAATGCCGGTGGATGTGAAGTGCAAGGTTGATCCAACTTTCAAGATCATCAAATGGAGTGTTTGAAGAAAATTTTCTTAGAGAAGGTGTGATTATTTTTCCCTTTTTTTCCTGATTTGATCAATCGTGTTTTGTTTTTTTTGTTTTTGTTTTTTTTTCCTGAAAATATTTGTGGGCATATGATTTTGTAGTAAAATTGTATAAATACTCGTATAGTGTGTTTTAACACAAGATACGATTTTGTGATAGAAATTTGATCACAAAATTTTTTAAATGGCCTTGAGTGGTATATTTTCTTTATATCGTTTTCTCGATTCATAGTTTAGTGATGACGAACAATTGAATCTATTTAAAATAAAATAAAATTAGTAGTCAAATTTTAAGATCCATAATCTCAAAGTTTAAATCTTTCATAGGGCATGTTAAAGTTGATTTAAGTTGCATATTAGTAAAGTTATCATTTGGAGATAGAAGCCCAATATTCAATAATAAAGTGGTTTATCCATGTAATAATTGATATTGGATTTTCCGTTGGTGCCTGGTGATTTGATATCCGTTGTCCAAGATTGACTGTCTTACTTACTATCCACTAAATGATATATTAACTCATCATTTTACACCTATTTTTAAGTACAAATGATAGTGAAAGAAAAATTAAATTAATTAATTTAAAGTAACGTGTCAATAAATTATTGGATGGATAGCAAGTTCGACCTCCAAATTTGAACTCTTTCCTCTTTTAGCTATTGTATTTGTGTTGAAAATCTAATTCTATAAAACCTGGCTCTGAAGAGTCCGTGTCGTTTCATCATTTGAGGGAGCTTATACAGTAGATCTCAACTACAGATTTGCATGTGCATGATTGATGATAAATAGAAGACTTTTGGAAGATCAGTCCTCTAATTGCTTATTTAATAAATTATAATAAGAAACTTGAATGTTTAGAGGGTTATAGTTGGATATTTGCAGTCTTTGTCTAGTGTTTTTGGATTTATCCCACTATCCTTTTCTTATACTAATAGTAAGTACATGCGTTGTATGTTTTATGTATTGGACAAATGATATGTCTAATATTTTTAAGTACTAATGATGTTTTTGAAAGTAGTTCATGTACTCAATATTTATAAAGGAAAAATTAAAATTGTTAAAAAATATGTATATGAATAACACATTTTATGAAATTGTGTATATAATGTTAAAGGTTTAATAAATAAAAATGCAATATTTTCATTTGAATAACATTTTTTTGTTCACAATATTTTTTGTCAACATCCTACAACTTTTCTTCTTTTTATTTTTATTTTTAGTCTTTTATAAAGACTTTTGTTGTTTGCATTGAAACTCAACAAAAAAGTGTGAGATATAGTTGTCCATAAGATAATACATGTTCAGAAATGTATATTTTAATATTAAACATTGTTTGTCCTTAAACTTTGTTAATGATAATTACAAGTATAAATGTATTGAAAATTATTCTCTCTTAAATCTAAATAAATATCCTTCATCATTTGTTAGAATTAATGGGATGCATGAATAATATTTGACAACAATATATTTAGGAAATCCTTTTGATAAAATTGATTTGTTTTTAGATTCCACAGATAAGATAAAAATGAGAATCAAATATGAAACAAAATTACTAAAAAGAACATACCTTGAGGATGAAGAACTAAAATAATCAAATATTTAATTGAATTGACAATGAGTAAGCATGTCAAAAAATTACTAAATTATGTTACTACTACAAACAAATGGCGTGCTTAAAATCATAAAATTGAATTATTATCATTTTTTATTTATTTTGAATGGCAACTTCATATGCATTACAAAATTTTTACTTTAACATAACAAAGTTCTTATCTGATCTGTTTGAATATAAATATTTCAAATTAAATTTAAAAAGTAAAGTATGTATACATGTGAATATTAAAATGCCAAAATGGATGCATAATTTATATTCATTAAATATATCCAAAATCACAAAATATAAAAAGTTATACCTCATTTAATTTGTTAAAAGTAATGACATTTAATCTCTTGCTTTGGTTTGCCTAAATTCAAGTAAATATATTTGACTTATTTAGATTTACGATCTAATTAGATTTGGTATCATTGGAGACATGTACATCTTTTTATAACAATCCTATGAAAGTCGAAAAGAAATGATAATAAAAAATTATAAAAATAATTGGTACGAACTTAAAGCGAAAGCTAGTTTTCTAAATATTCTTTGCACATGGTATAATATGAAAAAAGAATTTATACTTAAAACAAAGTTATAAAGTCAAATATAAGATCTTTCAGCATTTAATAATGCTAATATTTTTAGTAATATTTATATATAATATAAATTTAATAAGCATCAATGATACTTACAATTTTT